GCTTTTCTAGCCAGCTGTGCTGTGAAGGCTGTGCCTCTGCAGACCTCCTGGACGGCGGTGGGTGGTTGGTGGGCTTTGGGCCAGCTGTCTATTTTTACTCCTTTTATGACTCAGGCTGACTAATGAGAGGATACAAGGATGCTAATAAGTTCTGTCTATCTTTATGGACCTTAAGACCTGAAAGGACTTAAGCGATGACCTGAGTTAATGTTAGCAGCGTCTGTTGAAGTTGAGCTGATGTACTTTCCTCATTTGACTGGCCCACTGTGGCGTACTTGAGCGCTGGTGGTGTTGTGAGATTTGCTGTCAGTTATGAGGAAAGCAATATATAGGGTTCACGTTCAAGCTAAAGCTCTCGGCTTTTTTCGCCAAGGCGTTCGCTCACAAGCGGTGCAGATGCGGGACAGCTGCTTTGGAAATGAAATGTGAGTTTGGCAGCATGAAGTGAGGCTGGAGAGCGTTGAAACCCCACATTTCACAGAGAGGGGTTGGTCATCCAGCACTGAAAATTCCACAATTTTCCCCCCTGTCATTTTCATTCTGTTGCTGTGTGGAGATCTGGAGTTTCTCATGCTTTGTCAGTGTCTCCCACTATGTTTGATTCTCGTGTAATTGTGTTTTTTTTTGCTTTATTATATGATTTGGATGACACTCGTTTCGTCGAGATTTGAAACGTTTTACTGTCGGGGTATAAAACCTCCATGCAGCTGACTTAATGATGGGTTGTAACAGTAGTTATCATCTGATGTGTGGCCTGTCTTTACCGTTTTTATGCTTGTTTACCCAGTTTATGTGAGAGTATAACATGCTTTTTATGATCCATGTATCAGATTCGTCATGGGGATCAGTTGCACCATGTGATCTTTATGGCACGTGTCGTCTCCGCCTCAAAGCTGATCCTTTAATTAATGTGGGATTTACTAATGAGTCAATTTTAGGCTTGTGTGGGTTCATCGGGGTGGTCTGCCGGTCAGGTGTTGGTGAAAATCTGGCCCGGCCCTCCTCGACGGCACCCCATTAATAAAACAGATGCACAGATAGCGCGGTTGTAGACATGGGGTAACCTGACCCCAGCGAGCTGAGTGCCTGTCACAGCTCATTAGCATCGGGATGAAATGAAGGCTGGTAGAAGTGGTTCTTTTGCTTTAGTTGGAGCCTCACCAAGCAGGAAGCCCACAGTTCAGTGCACCCACAGCGACTCAGCAAACCAACCCAACCACCCAGGCCAATGGTTCTCTTACATCCAAACACAACAAAGCACAAGTCTTGGAGTCATGGTTTCGCCTCCTTTAGTTTTGAGGGCTGCCACCATCTACGAAATGTGTAACACGGTAAAGCTGCTAGAGGTTTTCTGTCACTTACCGTCTACCCTGGTGTCAGATTGTGTTTTAATGTGTTTAGGGAAGGAAAGCGGGTACAGAATCTAGTCATCTGGTTAGCAGCCAGATTGAGCCAATAGAGCCCCTCTGACTCCCAATACCCCGCAGTCAGCACAGCGGCGATCAGTCGGCTCGCAACTCCTCCTGAATACTAATTTGATTTCCTGCTCGCTGTTGTAGAAGACTCTGTGTGGGCTACAACCTGCGTTTCTACCAGATACAACTTAACCATTGTGCTGGAAATTGATTTTTTTGTGCATCTAGAGACGCCGGAACTGTACTCTTATATCAGGATTCCAATGCATCTCGCAGGTTTATTGGCACTCGTGTGAAAGAAATCAATCCGGTTCTGTTTAGGAAAGAAAACAGATGTAGATGCAGACAATAATATAATGAGTGTAGTGGAATAATCAGTTAGCGCTAAAGTAGGTAAACTGCTAAAGTTTTTACATAGGAGGATAAGAGGATCTGTACAAGGCTGTAGTCTTTACATTATACTGAAAAAATAAACTTGTTGGACCAACTTAAATGAATTCCATCAGTTGGTGACACAATTAAATAAAGTTTATTCAAATTAACGAGTAACATTATAGCCACAGATGAGCAATACTGCAACTTAATTTCGGGAAAATCAACTTAAAGTTTCTAATTTTTCCAACTTAACTCTATTCTGTAACATAGAAAGCACGGTTTTGTCATTAAACTCGCCGTTCTTTCCTTTTTCTTCACTCTGTAATTGAAGAAAAATAGCAGTTGCAGCAGAACAATTAAAGAAACGAGCACTTTCTCTTCAATTCAAATACAAGTTTAAAGGGACTATAGGTAATTTCAAGCTGATAGAATCCGCAAACCGCCTTCGCCAAAGCAAGAAAGGAACAAGAAGCTCTTCTTTAATTTAACTACAGCTCAAATACATCTTGCAGCGTAGTCTTCCTGCACATAGTGAAAACAAAGATGTATATATACGCCTCCTGAGATGCTCTCTGCATTGATTTTCTCTTACAAATTCACTCTAAAACACTTGTATACGTCTGTAACCTTGCGATATTATAATATACAGCATTTCAAAATAAAACATTACTCACAAGTAACACAACAAAACAAGCTCTAGTTGGGGATCAGACTCCTCCATCAATTACTCGCTCATGGAAATAGGTCCGATCTCAGGATATTCCTCATCCATCTTCCTCTCACTCCCCCTCCGAGCTGGAAAAAGTGGAGGCTGAGCGCTGAACACACTCTGATAGATGATCGCGACGGAAAAAGAACCCCAAGCTAAGCGGCGGATGCTGGCTGTATTTCCCCCCCATTTTTTTTTTTTTTTCTCAGCAGTGGAAAACTTTCTCCCCAAACCATTTATTATACCTTTTATGTCTGAAAGCTGCAGATGAAACATTTGGCCTTGATTTGACAGCTTTTGTCTGCACACATCTATAATATTTTCACGTTTTTTTTCTGTCTCTGGACTTTTTACCTGTAAGAAGTGGTCCTCTAACCAATCTGCATGTTTTTTGTGGCTTATATTCTGTGTAGGTTGCACGATTAAGAGCCGGTTAATTGTTTGGAGCTTTTCTAAAGCACACGAGGGCGGGGTGAATCATGCTTGTGTTGGACGGAGCAACTTTTTGGACAACTGCAGAGGTGTCAGTACATGAAGCAGATGTTGATAAAGCAAAGCGGGATAAAGGCAGGAGTTGTGCAACAGTTTCTGGATGATTGAGGCTTATTTTCAGGCAGAGAGAGAGTTCACCAACACATGGGTCGCATTAGATTTGTTTGAACAACACGCTCCTCGCAGGAAATCACGCAGCGAACGGCATCAAAGAGGGATCTCTCTCTTTTATTGCAGTCAGGTGAATGAGAGAATGAAGGAACGCTTAGAATGCTGACGGAGCATCCGTCTTTATTGTTCACACTCTCGCTCTCCGTCCCGACACAACCGGTCAGTTGTTTGGTGTTTAGTTTGGCCGCCTGCCTCTCAGAGTCAAAGTAGTAACTCAGAAAACAGGCGTAGATGTTTCTCCCTTTTTGTTTTTTGCCTCGACGTCACAGTGAACTCTCATTAAGGAGAGAACCTCCTCTTTCCCAGATGTGTTGGTCCCAGATATTTTTGTTTTTTCCTCATTAGTGACTGTCCTCTCTGCTATATTGTTGGTACCTGTATAGAAGTCAGACGTTTTAACGATGAGCCGTGTGAAGAGTGGAAGGCTTGATGTTTTAATTTTGGACCGATGGAGCAAATCTCATCACATAATGCAAATTCAGATTGTTTTGTTTTCCCCTCTGTGCAAGACACTCATATCTTTGTGATGTTTTCACTCGAAGCTCCCAGTCAAAGTGTCTCTTAGGGCTGAAACAGTCAGAAAACAATCGGCAGTCGAATTTCCTTTTATTATATAACAACATGTTTTTTTGAACTGCACGTCCAATCCTCTCAAGACCTCAGACGGCTTTGCCCTGAAATACATCTCTGATTTACTGGCCTGGTATTTGCCCTCGCGATCATCTGCAGATGGAGCCCTGCTGGTTCCTCCCAGGTCCCAGTTTCTGTGACGAAGGTCGACTTTTGCTATTGGAGCCCCTCACTATTTCTGCCGACTGACCTCTGAAGTCTCCGGCTTCTTCTAAACCCTCTTAAAAGCTTTTGGAGCAGTTTGGCATATGTTTTTATATGTACTTTTTTATTCCTTTGTATCTGATTCCTCTGTGCTCATGTCCCATGGCTTTATTCTTTTTTTGTTATTCATTATATCTGCCTATTTTGGTTTCTTTATTTATTCTTTTTTTTTGTTATGACTTTGTAGCACTGTTCAGAAAAGTGCTATATAAATAAAATGTTATTATTTTTATTTATTTGTCTATTTTCAAACTTTTAAAAATTTATTATTTAATTTATTTTATCTTTTTTTTTTTTTTTTTTTAAACAGAGGACAGGATTTGTGCAAAATACCATCAGAAACTTTCTTGTACCTACTTGACTTTTCGGTCTCCCTCTCAACTCATTTATATTGTCACAGTTTCAAACAAGAACCAAGATGTTTGGGAGGATCTCTAACAAACGTTGCTGTATGGTAACCACAAAGTCATTTTTTCAGTTCTAGTTGGACACCTGTAGTGACTCTTCCCCTTTGCTGTCAGCTATTAGAGAAATACCCAAAATGTCTTTAAAAAAGGAAGAAAGACAGCAACAGACTGGGCGTTAGTCTAGTTTCTGGATTACCCCCCAGCCAAGGATGAAGCCAGAGCAACTGTGAACTTGAAAAATAATTACCATTTTTGCATAAACTTTGCTTGGCACATTGTTTTTGTTGACCTTTCCATAATAACGTCATGCCCACTTTCACTAATGTTGCTCTTGTGATGTAGTTATTATAAGGTTGGCCACACAGAGAGAGAGCAGATCCTGCTGTTCCTTCACCTAGTTTGCAGCCTCTAAATATGTCTCTCTGGGTGCTGCAGACACCTGGATATTGTGAGTGTCTCAACGTGAGAAAAAAAAACTTGCATCTTACCCATAATGATAGATAATTCTCTGAGGTAACCTTCCCTGCTGAGTGTGTGCTTTAGAATGATATTTCATTTTCCACACCCAATTAACTTTGACCTTTTCCTCTCTTTCAGAACTCGATGAATCTTCCTCCAGACAAAGCGCGGCTCTTGCGGCAGTACGACAATGAGAAGAAATGGGAACTAATCTGCGATCAGGTGGGCATCAGTCACTCATCTTTACGATCTGATGTAGCTGCTCCACAAGTCGCACTTTATTAATTGTTGCTGCTTAATTACCAAACAGTAAAAACACAGCCATCAATCAGCCTCCTTTGCAGCCTCACACAGAACACAGAGTGATCTTATATGTGCTGTCTGAACTATCTGTCTAATCCTGGAGCAGGTCTGCCCCACTGTGTGTCACGACCACAGCACCTATGCTCCATTGCCCTGCCTTTATCCTGTAAGCCTTTCCCCATCTTTACACACTGCCCTGGCTTCCCTGGTCAAGTGGGTTAAGTGGCACAGCAGGGAGCACACATCAGTAAGCCAGTTAAAAAAACTCGGTGGCGTCAGTGCTGCATGTAGGAAATAGCAGAGGGTGCACGTTGTGCAGCGAGCTGTGGTCTGAGCGCTGCACTCAGCCCGCATCCTCCGTGCCAAAGAGTTTTTCTGCCTCTTTGAGCAGAGGAGAAAAGCGGAGACTAGATCAAGACCACCACCCTCTCAAACTGTATTGATAGCCACTGACCCCGAAGGGAAATGTGCCAGAGGGAGCCCACCAGGCTGTTGACCAGCAGTCAGAGATCCTCTTGGAGTCCACTCCTAACTGTCAGACTCGCCGTGAAAATAGCTGGTTTCGTTGTCAGTGAAGCGTTTCCCAGTGATTCTGCTGACAGGCTTTTTGATAGTTGCCCACCTCAGTGAGCAACCGTCAAGTAAAGTCTGTCCGCTGTGTTATCAGTGTTCACAATATCTGATCTATACTGTTAGAGGCACTTCTTGTCTTCAGCGTTGTTCTGTACGTCCTCTCCTTGTCGATAAGTTGATGTTGCTTTTCTTTCAAACATCAAAGAATACTGCTAAACTAGTTTCCCGAAGTCTTCGTTCCTCTCTTGTTTTCACAACAAGACAGCGGAGGCAGCTCTGGGAATAAAGTATTTTCTGTGTCATAGCCACAGCGAATCTTTTAATGTAACCATGGCAACAGTGATGGATGGAGGGAGGGAGGCAGAGGAGCAGAGACGACAGGTACACCCCCCCTTTGAAAAAAAAAAGAAAAAGAAAAAAGGCCCCGCAAACGCCACAAGAGGTTGAAATATTAAACATTTTTCCTGCCATTGTGAGGATTTATGAAATATGAAGGATGCTGTTGATGTGAACACAAGGTCACAACATCCAGAGTGCAAACGATGATTATGATTAAGTCATCACTGTCAAATCCTAAAACTATGACGTCCTCCAGAACAACAAACCAAACACTTTGCTCATGTAGTTCACTTTATTTGTGTACTTGAAAGCATCTAAAACATGTCCACTCAGTGACAAACAACCGCTCGCACGCTTTCATTTAGACGTTTGTCACTCTTGAGTCTCCTCAGATGCAAAGGAGGCTTAACTCTCAAATTTAATTTAAACCTGCTCCCTCAGAGGAAAAAGAGCAGGTTGGAACCCGTTTATATACGCTCCTAAAAACCAGACGTGTGCCCTCTGTAATATAGTCTCCCTCTCTGCTCGTATTTACGACGTGTGCTGCCATTCCTCGCATTTCTTTGCACGCGACAGGATACATACGGTACTTGTCAACTCATACATTATTTCGCAGACTCACAGATATTTCACCGGCGTTGAAACTCTCACACAGAGTCGAGCTGTTTGTCTGCGTGTTTGCTGTCAGCCGAGAGCCAGCTCTCTTTCCTGACGCCGCTCTCGTCTTTCCTGTTTTCGCGAGACAGACACTTTGGCAGTGACGAATGCGATGCTGCTGATCTGATCTCGGTATCTGTGTGCAGAGGGTGGACGCATTTACAGAATGTGATTCACGACAACAGCATTATAGCAAATGCTGCCTTTAAGAAGCTAAGAATGGAATCTAGTTTGCATAAAAGCAGGCGCTTGAACTCTTTCCGGATAGTTGAGTCAATAACCTGTAGGTAGGATTGTCCTGCATGTGTGTATATATCTTTTAAATTTCCAGCAATTTGCACAGGTTGTCACCCACCTCTGAGGGGATCAGCACCTCAGTTTCCAGCTGTGGAACTTGTGGGGATATTTAAAGAGCCCTGGCTCATTGGTGGGAAGCAGTTGAGGGATCATGTCCGTTTCACTGCACTCTTAACTCCTGCTCATTGGTTTGGGTGCTTGCACAGTGTCGGGTTGATGTAGAAAGGATAGTGGACCACTTGCTGAGGATTTCTTTTTTACTTTTTTGCTGGTAAATGAAAAGAACATGTTGACTACACGACCAAAGGTCTACATCAGAGACTTTTAGGTAAATAAAACAGAGAATTGACTTGTAATATATGCAGTTTGTTTTGCGGTAAGCCACCCAAATCTGATCCAATCCTCACGCATTTTATCTCAAGATAGTTAATAGATGGCAGCCTACACTCATTAAGTCAAGAAGCATCAGTGGAGGTGTTTTTTCTTTCAGGTATAAAGTGCTGCAGGACTTTCTTTAGTCGTCTTATACCACATATAGAAATATCACTGACATAAGACCGTGGAGCTGCTTTGTGGCGTGTAGATGCACGGCCATCCTTGAGCTGATTAATGCATGTGTGACTTCCTAATGTACTTACTGGGTTTAAGAGCACATGCTTCGTATGAGGAACAAATCAAATGACTAACACACAGGGACAGATTATCATAGATGTCCATCTGAGATCCCTGCGTTCTCTGGTATGCGTTGAAAGCCAAAGATTTATGGTATACAACAGACAAAGAGAATGACTGTGAACCTTTTTATATGAAGTAAATCAGTCGTTCTCGATAGCTGACAAAGTAAAAGTATATCTTTATCCATATTGCATGAAGGATAAATTTCCTCTCTGATATGCCCTGCGGTCTTCTACTCCCTCATGCAGCGAGCTAAATCACTCGACAGAACCTTTCCCATCGCTGTGGTTCGCTGCTCAGCCTGATCCAAATGCTGTTTCCCACTCAACACACTGATCCAAATCCAGCACTAATCTCTTGTATTTATATTTAGAGCACAATAATGTGACCTAAAACCTGTTGATCCTGGGACATGTACGTACACATCCACACACAGGTTTGGTGACAATTCCCGAACAGATGATGCTTTGTTGGGGCTTTGCGACTAATGACAGTTACCAGAAAGATCATGAATGACCGCCTGAGATTTGCCCTAAAACGGTTCAGTAAACCCAGGATGCAAACAAACAAACACACATGTGGCGTCGTACGAAGGCCCAAAACAAGTTCTGACGGCGTTATTTTCCCTTTTGCCTCTTAAAGTGGAACATAATCTGGGGTTCCCATCCACTGTAGGATGACTCACGATTCTGTGATTTACTCAAAGCCTCTTCAGCTTTAATCTGATAGCTTTAGTGTCAGCAGCACTTTACTGTACACTGGAGATGTGTTCAGACTTGTGAGGGTGTGATTTCTTCCTTTTCATCAGGTCATGTGTGGTCATCTGATTTAACATCCATTTTATTGTGAAAGCAACTTCTGTTCTCGTTCCTAGAAAAGTTTCCGACATCTGCTCTGCTCCGTCCTTCTCTCATCTCGTTTCCTTTTCTTGCGCTCATCACTGTTTTGTTTTCCTCTTTTTTTTTTCGACAGGAACGATTCCAAGTGAAAAACCCGCCTCACACGTACCTCCAAAAGCTGAGGAGTTATCTAGACCCTGCAGTCACCAGAAAGGTGAGCGCCCTCGCCGACACGCTATCCTGTTCCCCTGCTCTGGCTGGTTCCAGCGCTGCGGCTTTTCCTTCCCCTCTGACCCTCTGCCTTTAGTCCAGGATGTCCCTGCAGCTGAGGAAAGATTGCACTCGGGCCTTGCGGAGGAGACAGCTTGGGAACTGCAGTTACAAAACGGCACTGTGAGAAAGGAGACAGTTGTTTATCTGGAACGCCCCAGGTTGGAGAAACCTCTGGCCAATCCCTAAGTAGTGCTGTTCTGCGGTTTGACAGCATGCTCTCAACTCGGAATAGTGGTGCAGACGGACTAATTGCTGCACTGACATTGCGCTGCAGCGTAGCGGGAGCTGACGTAAGATATCACAAGCGTTTCAGCTATATGATAAAAAAGTGTCATCCGAGCCGCCAGTTCTGTCTGTTTCCTCGGCTGCTTGGAAGCGAGCAGGAGGGAGTGAGAGGAGGGGGCTCGGTGAAGACGAGCATCAGCCAGCTCTCGGGCTTTGCCAAAATGAAGTCTTTTTGGCCTGGGCGAGAGAGCTGTGGGGGGAATGCTGGGAGACCGGCCTCTGTGATAAACAAATTAACCAACAGACTGTGCCAGAATAACAACAAATCGCTGAATAATTAAATTTGCACTGACTGGAGTTTAAATTTTGAATCACAATGAGCGGGTTTGAGCAGCTTGAACAAAGCTGTGGTTACTGTGGTGAAAAGGGGAACACAGTTTCTTTGCTGCAAAGAAACACGGCATACAGTCCTCGATGTGTGTGATGCAAGTAAAACCTGCATTATTGATGTCGGGGAGTAAATCCCACTGGTTCTCACTTTGCTAGGAATTACTAGGGAGGAGCTTAGCTAATCGGAAATGAAAAAAAAAAATCTAAAAATATATGTAAACGACCTGGTTGAAGAAGTCTTTCCAGATGTTGTGTCCCCCAAAACACCTGGTTTAGTTCAATGAGCAGAAAAGTCGAAGCTTTAAGAAAAAGTCATGAATGAAATGTTTTCATTATAGTGCTAAAAAACAAAATAACGTTAAACACATTTGGAACGCGGCAGATGGTGTTGATTAAGGGCTGTTTAGGTTCATCTGACAGGCCTGTGGGACTATCACCTGTCTCAGGGGCTGCTGCACCCCCGTGGCTCTGACGCCTAATGCAATAAGAGATAACATGGAGATCTGATAAAGGCAGGAAGCAAAGAGGAGAGTGACACGGGTCGAAGCAGACACCTCAGACACAACAATGTGAAAGGGTTGTGTCAGCATCGGAGGGCTGGAATGACTCAAACTTTCAGTCGGTGTCGGACTCTGACCAAATCTGAAACCGAATGTGAAAGTAAAAGGTGTTAAAGTGCTTTTAGTCAGCATCCATCAGGGCAGGTGTGTGGTCGGGACTGGTGGGAAACACAACTGTTTGTTTTTTCCAGAGATTTAGATGGAAAGATTAATCCCGCCCTCATATCTATCTGTTAAATACGAGACTAAAGCCAGCAGCTACATAACCATCAGCAGCCCGGCTCTGTCCTAAGGTAACAAAATCCGCCTAGCAGCACTTTTAAAGCTCACTAATTAACTTGTTATATCCGCACTAATGCTGAAGTGTAAAAAACACGACGAGTTGAATCAGCTTTAGAGGTGCTAGTAGGTGGAACTGTAAGCTACGCTAAGCTGCCCACCTCCAAACTGCAGCTTTCGTAGTTGGCGTGAAGAGCCGGCTCTCTCTGGAAAAAAAAAGTGAGTAAGCATATTTGACAAGATGAAGGAGATGCTGTTTAAAGCTCTCAGGGTGTAAACAATCAGCGCAGCCATCGCTGGCGGAAATCATCCGGATGACTCTGATGTTTGTCTTGCAGATCGGATCTAAGTCACGCCCTCCTTCTAGTTTCTTTATTGAGCTCATCTGTGGACACATGACTAACAGATTGTTTGGTCTACATTAAACCAACCTTTGAGAGACAGCCCCAAACCTCACTTTATTTATTTATCACCTTTTTAAGTCCCGTGAACCCAATGGGCCATGTGGGTTTCTGTCAAATCCAGCCTGGCGTGAGTCCTGAGCCTATTCTTCGCCTTGATCAAAAACCTGGAGCGGACGGGCGCACGGGAATAGAATGAAAGAGTGAAGTTGAGGAGGGCAATGGAGAGGGAGGGAAGGTGAAATGGTGAATAAAAAGGAGAGGGGTAGAAAGGGGAGAGAGAGAGATGGACGAAGCACAAGAGAGCGCGGAGGAAAAGAAAGAGTTATGGGCTTCTTTCTACATTCCTGCTCCATCCCCCTTTTCTTCAAACTCAAACAATTGCCACTTTGTGCCACTGTGAGAGAGCTGGAGGTCATTGCCTCTGCTTTCCATAGGCAGGCTCCGGTGCATTCCTCTGGGCAGCTCCCAGCCAATAGGCAGCCAAGGAGGAAGAGTTCCAGTCCAACTAGTCCCCAAGAATGCATCAGCCATTGATTTGTTTCCAGGATGACCCTCCTGAGCTCACACTTCCCCAAAATCTCTCTCTCTCTCTCTCTCTTTTTTTTTTTTTTTTTTACTCCCAGCACTGTCTCCTTGCTCCTACTTTCCCCTTTTCGGCGCTCCCTCCTCGTCTCCTCCTCTTTTCCCCCTCTCCTTCCCCCCCACCGTCGGCTCCTCTCTCTTCCTGCTCGCTCTGCGTTGCAGCTGGTAGCACTTAAAGTGTGGAGTGTGGGGAGTTTTTGGTGGGGGCTGTGGGAGCCTGCGCAGTGCCCCGAAATATGCTCCGCTTTTCCTCACAAGCACACACATGACTCCTCCCTAATAAAAACACTCTGTTTCTCATCTCCTCGTGTTCCAAACACACCGCCCAAGCCCAAAGACATGGACCGGAGAGAGAGACCCCAGCTATGGGAACGGCTCTCTTCTCACTGGATGGTAATAATAGGTTAACGCAGGGCTGAGCTCCGTTTCCTCCCTGATACAAACGCATCATGGAAAGTGACCAGACCCTCCAACCCTGGATCTCTTCTCTTCACTTCCACTTCTTCTTCTAGACATTTAACTAAAAAAATAGATTTTTCTCATGTTTTATCATCATATCTTCCAACTCAAAGCTTAAAAAGTCCAGAAATCTCCTTAATGGAAGTGTATTGATTAGTTAATGTGGATTTATTGTCTGATTAATTTGCAATAAAAAAAAAATCCATTGCCTCTGGCATATAAAACATAGTACAGCATAGTGTGCAGTGAAAATGTCTTACAGTCTGAAAACACAAAGATAAGACAAGTTTACAATGACAGAAGGCTGGAAAAATCTGAGAAGCTGGAACTAAAAATTGCTGATGTTTCTGTTTCTGAAAACTTACTCACATGATTTATTGATTATAAAAAGAGCTGCTTGTAAATTTTATGTTGGAAATACAAACCAGTTAATCGACTGACGTGAATGTTGACTGTAACTACTTTAATTGGGGGAAAACTAAATTGTTAAAGCTTATTTTGTGGCTGTTTCCTCTTAGTTTATCGAATATTTACTATAATTTGAAAGGGTTTGTAGTCAGCAGTAGTGGCTGACTGATGTCATGTTTTCAGGGAGACTGTTTGATTTCGAACTGATACATTTGCAGTTAAATTTAAATCCTGATTTCAGATTTATCCCTCAGTGTTGATAGGTTATTAATTGTGAGCAGGGCTTTGGGCGCGGTGTCGCTGGTCCAGACCACAGAGTGGTGACTACAGATGGAGAGAGGCAGCTGCATCACAGCTAAACGAACACATTTTTAGATGCAATCTGTGGGGAAAAAAAACCCCAAAACATTACTGCTGATTGTAAAAAATCTGAATATCAGATGTAGTAATTGACCCGGCAACAGCTAATATTCACGAACACGACAACATATACTACTTTTGATCTTTTGAAATACTATAATATCTCCAACAGCGGGGTATCTGATGCGTTTTGAGTCGAGCTTTCTCCTCTGCTCTGATGTAACAGCTTCACTCCCTCTCATCGGGGATTTCCTCCCTCCTGTCGCACTGTGAGGCTGTTTGATCACCGCTGGTCATTCACTTTGCTTGTTTTGTTCCTGCGGTTGTATAACAGCCTGAGGGGCCTTTTGTTTTTGATTCTGCAGATCACCTCCTGTCAGAGGATGAAAGCCGAGAGGAACCCGCTCACGTTCTCTCCTCTGCTGCTTTTTTTTGTTTCATTCACCAGTCGGTTCATACCTTCATGCATGCCGCTCGCACACGCTTCTTTCTTGTAGCCACAGTAACAAGACCAAGAATTTTTGTGTGTGTGTGTTTGTGTGTGCAGTTGTGTTTATGTAGCTGCTGGGTGTCCTGGTTGGGTGTGAGAGGTAACCAATCAGCTGACTTGATTTTATCATGGTGCTTGCAGGAGGGATTACAGCTATTTACAGAACCAACATGAGCAAACAGCAGCAACATGAGCAGATACAAAAAAAAAAAAAAGTACTGCGTTTTCACAGTTTCCAATGAGTCAGCTAGTCTTCTCTTTCAGCCTATTTTATGGTTACTGGCAAATCAAAAAGAGCCGTTTGAAAATCTCATGAACAGCTCAGTCCCATCTTTCATTCTTTTTTTTATTTTATCAGCCTGACTTCGTCTAAATGTCACTGCGGCTGCTTCTGCGTCTGTTTGCCTGACCTCTCCGTCAGAAAATGTTTTCTCCGGCCAAAACATCTCTGCGCTACCACATGTTGATTTACAGAGGTATGATGAAATTGAACCTCCCTTACTTTTCTTTCCCTCCTCAGAAATTCAGACGGAGGGTACAGGAGTCCACCCAAGTCCTGAGAGAACTGGAAATTTCGTTACGGACCAATCATATAGGGTGAGTCACCGTGTGGAGGATGTGTAGGGTTGCACGTCTTGGACCTGGTTGTGTTCGATTCAAAGGGGGGGGAAAAGTCTGGCATTCCAGACACCCAGACACGCAGACTAACCACCACCATCCCCCAGTCCTATCTGACCTAACATTACACCGAAATCCATGTGGCAACGAAGGAAAGATGAATCGATTGATTGTTCTGGGCAGCTGACACATGAACAGCCTCTGGAAGGAAAACACATTTTTTTTCTTGCAGTAGTTCTGCTGCTCAGTGTTTCAGTCTGCCATCCTGAAGGGATACTAACATGGATATTGCCAAAGATATCATGATTTCACAACAGTTTGAAACACTGGCGTATTCATCAGGAAATTTCTGGTATTCCAGGATTACGTGCCTCAACCTGCTGCAGCTCGTATTGATTCACGGCCGTACAGTGAGCCTCGAGGAAAGATCGATATCTCAGCGAGAGTCACACAAGGTCTCGGTGTTTTTGTCTTGCTTTGGATCAGAGGGCCTGTCTCTAACTAGACACTGATGTTGAAGGGTTGTTAATGAGGCCCTGTGCATTCTGGGATCTGTAGGATCCAGGAGCCTTGTTAGCACAGCGACTTCTAAATCAACAGCAGCACAGAGTGATGTGGCAGGAGATGTGGAGACCTCGTCAAGAAGCAACCATGAGAGCATCTGCTGCTTTTTGTAAAGATACTCTACAATCTAAACTACATTAATCCCTCTGTTTTTCTCTTTTCCTCCCTCCCACACACATATTACTTTACCTCAATTTGACTCTCACACAGATTATCTCATGACAACACCGTCTCTCACACTCCTACGCGCTGTTTACACACATACTGATCAGATTCTGCGCCTTTTACACCAAAATATACTCCGAGCGCCGGCCGGAGACGGCGTCCGTCTGGCAGAGCAGTTGAAGGATTGTTGACGAGGATTAACTCTTTTTTAGAGACCTTATGTGGGTAAACTAGATTACATAAATAATCTAGCTAATCTAGATTAGACAATGAAGCATTACCATCCGGAGGGTGGGGGGGCGCCTGAGCACAATGTCATCCACTTAGACAGTGAATAATTACTGCTTCTTCTCAGAGGTGAAAGAGAGAAATTTATCAGTCATGTAGGCTGTGAATAATGGGCAGATTGTCTCTGTAGGAGCAGCGCTGATGCTCCCCGCCTGCCTGCTTCTGACATATTGCACAGTGGTCACCAACATGTGGTGAATGGGAGGATTGTTAGTTAGTGTCCTGTGGTAATGATTACCATGAGGCCCAACGAAGCCACACCTCCGAGGCCTTTTAAAAACACAGCTGCCCCCTCCAGGCACTGCTTTACTGGACACTCTTGTTAGTCTTATTCAGTCCCACGTCGTTACCTCGCAGGGGAGCTAATAAAGAAGCAGCGAGTGGATTTTTAAAGCAGTTTGGCTTTACATCTTCATCAGCTCAGCACTACTCAAACGCCGTCATTATGTTTATGCCCCGCGAATGTCTTTAATCGCCGAGCAATCAGGCCCGTCGAAGCGGTTCCAATAAAAAGAAATGGCACCTTCATTGGAGGCGATTAAATAAAGATCATCCGTGATTCGCCTCGCAGTGCTTATAAATATGAGGAGCACATACCGGAGGAAGCAGGAGGGTTTTTTTTTTCCTGTGAAAAGCCGTGTTTCTCTGTGCAGAATAGAAAATGAAAGCATGTGAAGTGCTGAATGGGTGGCCCACTTCAGTGCCTGTGAGGAAGGTGCGAAGGGGCTTTTGATCATTCTTCTCAAACCGGAGTTAGAAACTATGTGTGCGGTGGAGGAACGGATAGAAACGAGAGGCAGGCTTCTAATAATGAGATTCTATTTATGCGTGTGCGGATGCCTCCGCGTTTGCAAACACATGCATGTGTGATGTGTTTGCTGCTCTGAGCCAGGAAGCTTTGAAGTCTGTCAAACGGGTCATTACAATTCTTCCTGGCTGAGGCAGGGAGAAAGGCTGAATAATCTGAAAACATCTGTACGCCGAGGTATGGTCAGAGCCTGCAAAGAATGGCGGAAAAAGGAAATTACATATTGTTTATTATACAAATAAACATCTCAGACATATTGTGTAAGTCCTGTATCCTCGTGTTAGCTGTGATTACTCCAAAGAAGATGAGTTTGGGTTGATGTGTGTGCTTACATTTGCATCCAGAAACTGATTTTCCAAGAGTTTGTCTGCTAATAAACGTTTCCTCTCTCCTCAGGTGGGTGAGGGAGTTCCTCAATGAAGACAACAAGGGCTTGGACGTGCTGGTGGAGTATCTGTCCTTTGCACAGTATGCCGTCACGTGAGTCACTACAAGCACTCGGGTCTATATGCACAACCGATAAACCCACACAACGCCGCTATTCTGCACCGCCGCTCATCTCCTCACAGCACCACCGTCGCTGCTGCCGGCCGGTCAGAAACACTGAGTCACTCGAGGGGCCCTGTTGCTGACACACTGGCACTGTGTGTTATACCAACCATATGCTTCTATTCATGGATGGACTGTGTGATTATTAGTCAGTCACAAAGTCCCTGTTCAGGGCCAAAGAGCCACACACTTAAATTTTTAATTCACCCCTTCCACTTCACCATGTTATTATAGGCTGTCCACATTATGGATGGTTAGCTGTAAAATTGTGTTTACGCAGTACCGCTGCAGCAGCACATAAAAGTCATGGAAAGGACTGAAATAGATCATAACAGGTAGGCTTTAACCAGCAGCTTTCCACGCTTTGTGCCAACGACAACAAAACATGAGCTGTCTCTCTTACGTATCAGACCTAAACCAACAACTGTTTTTCAGATTTCTATAATTTTGATGTTGCGTGCTGGCAAGGTGGAGCTGAATCACTCTCACCTCTGCAAGTGCTCGTTAATAATAGTGTCTGGCTAATATATGGGACAGCAGCTTAGCCTGCAACATGGAGAACTGACAGTGTTATAGACAAAGATGTGCTTTGTGGCCCGCGAGCTGATTCACTGTGATGGTTTATTAAATTGCTGTATTGGTTCTGGGCGGTGGTTTGTACCATTGTCTCACAGCAAGAAGTTTGCCGGTTCACATCCTGGTGAGGACACCTGGGATCTTTTTGCTTAGAGTTTGCATGTTGTGCAGCGTGGGTTCTCTCTGGGTTCTCTGCAGGTTCCTCCCACACAGTCCAAAATCATGTTGAGGTTAATTGGTGATTCTAAATTGTCCGTAGGTGTGAATGTGAGTGTGCTTGGTTGTCTGTCTCTAAGTGTAGCCCTGTGATAGACTGGTGACCTGTCCAGGGTGTCCCCTGCCTTCACCCTGAGTCAGCTGGGATAGACTCCAGCCCCCTGTGACCCTAGTGAGGATTAAGCGGTGTATAGATAATGGATGGATGTATTGGTCCGTCTACTTCAGTAAACATTCTGAATACTTCTTCCACCACTACTAAAAAAACTAACAATAAAGAAAGCTAGATCAGAGTAAATGTGGATCTACACTGTGTCTCATTTTATTTATTTTGTCTGTGGTGCCACAGGTTTGATGGCGACAGTGTGGAGAACAACCCAGAGGCTGCGATGGACAAGTCGAAACCCTGGAGCCGCTCTATAGAAGACCTGCATGGAGGAAGCACCTTGCCGTCTCCCATCACTGGGAACGGTATCACCCGAGTCGGGAGACATTCCACGTTACGGTATGACACAAACGAAAAAAGAACTATCACCGCCAATTGGTAAATCGATGTACTTTTAAAAACGTTTCATTTTAACCTGTTGTTTTTTTGGCCTGGTGAAAATCAATTGAATTTTAAATCAGTTTTGTTAATGTAGATTTTTCTTTAATCAAGCGTAGTCGACATTTTCTTTATTAAATGTTCAGTAATAACAAGTAAATGCAAAGATCATGCTTACTGTCATGCATGGTCCACCCCCCAAAGGCCCATTCTGAGCTGGGAAAAACCCCTCGCATGTGTCTTTGTGTAGCTTTTAACTGTTACCCAACACCATTATTTCTTTGTAGTGTTTGGGAGCAATGTGATTCTTTTGAGAAGTCACACACTCCATAACGGTACCTCAGTTGCCCCTTTGTGTGGTCATGAGATCTGTAAGACTTTAAATGGCTTAAGACACATGCTAGAGGAAAAAAAGTGCCATTTGTCTGGACTTTTTGGCTGCTTGCTACGATTATGACACATGACTGACGGGAATTTTTCATGTGACAGATGAAAGATGTTTTAATGGACAAAAATCTTGTTTTGTATTTTTTTTTTTGTTGTTGTAATTTTTATAAACACCAAGCAGAACCTTTTTCTTCTTTCTTTTTTTACTCCAAATCCTGTGTGCAGAGGATTTCACAGCCGTTTATTCATAAGCCCATGCTAATATATGCTCTGAAGCACAAATCCCATTCATTGCTGCATTATTTCTCTAATCCTCCCTGTCATTCCATTAAAGTTTCGGTACAGCACTCGCACTGACTTCTGTGACCTCCAATCCTTTAGTTTGAAGAGGCTAACTGGAACACATTGCACACAAAGAGCGCTATTGATTCAATGAAGCACATGTCTTTTTAATATGAGAAGTCAGCCATTTTTAGTCGTTCAGCGAGTCCTTTTCTAGTGTGCCGTCTCGGGCTACATGCATAAAATTATACACATGTAGTAAAATAAAGTAGCGTGGGGGGAAAAACGATTGAATGTTTGCACGCTTTTTAACAGGAATTTAGATGCTAATCCAAGTTTGCAAGTGATAAAGAGTCATGTATAAGACTGGTTTTCTATATTAAGCTGCACATAGAACAGGGGTGTCGAACTCCGGTCCTCGAGGGCCACAATCCTGCATGTTTTAGATGGTTCCCTTCTTCCAACACACCTGATTCAAATGGTCAGGCTTCTGCAGAGCTTGATGATGAGCTGATCATTTGAATCAGGTGTGTTGGAAGAGGGAAACATCTAAAACATGCAGGATTGTGGCCCTCGAGGACCGGAGTTCGACACCCCTGACATAGAAGGTGTGGAAACCTACTTTAGGAACATTGTGGACAAAATCTTGAAATTCCCAGCCTGCTCTAATGTTATAATCTGGTGTTATTCATTGTTAATCGTACATATTTTGTCCGTGCTTTCGTCGTGGAGACTTAACTGATACTGATGCACCTGTCAGACGTGAACATTTGTCCACACCTGACTGTGTACCTCCACGTCTCCACATCTGCCGCCCCCCAGATGTTCCTCTCGTGTCATCACTCTCCAGCATCCACAGTGTGATTAATTGGTCCGAGTGTCCTCCCAGAAGTTGACTGTCTCTTCTGTTTTGTCCTCCGTAGTCCTCTGCTCTTTTGTGTGCCCGTCTTCGACAGCAGGCAGGTCTCAGCTTCGCTCTGGTGGCTCACAGTGAGCTTTCTGCAGCCTTAACCCCGCATCCCTGCTCCCTCCCAAGATGCAGACGCACACATAATACCATGGGCACACACATGCACTCTGATACACAATGCCCCCACCACAACCACCCCACCCTGCCTCATTGTACTTTATACCTCCCTGCTAGCGCTGCCCAGTTTATTTGTCCCGCTGTCTGTGTCGGGGATGTGAATTATTTGTACTGCCAGCCCACCCCCCTCCTGCGCTCGAGACTGAATTCTCCTTTCCTTGGAGCAAATGGGTTTCTCTGCACTCATTGTTCCTGCCTCTGTGTCTGTGTGCTGCTTGTGTGGCTCCCTAAATGCCATTCTGTGCAGAAGCTAGCCTAGTTTCTACAACAGCCACATAAAAGCTCGACACTAGGCTACAACCAGTACGGATAGAGTAGGTGGCTTCGAAAAAAAACCTTCTGTATTTTGGATTCATTATTTGTTTTCCTCTGGTGCAGCGTCACATACGTTGTGAAGCATTTGGTCTGCTAGTTGTTTTATGGATCTTTATTACTACTTTATTCCATCATACAGAATCTTTTACCCCCCCTATGCTGCTTAGATTGGCTTTAAACTAGGATAATGAGAGCTCAATAACTGCCAATTACTGCTAAATTAAGTCTTGTCCATGTGTCTGTCCGCTGCAATCTTGAAGGACGCCGAGCACGCTGAGCTGTCCAAAGTGCTCTCAGATGAGACGGTATGTCAGAGCAGTCGGGTAAGATGGTGACCTGTAGCTGTGTTAGACCTGTGTTTTATAGCCTGTAATTATAGTTGTAGAGCTTTGTTGTTTTGAGGTATTAGCTCAATGATTTTTTTTCTTTTGTTTAATACGATCTTTTGAGGGTTGCAAGGTGGTGCAGTTGGTAGCACTGTTGCCTCGCAGCAAGGAGGTCGCCGGTTCACGTCCCGGTGGGGGCACCGGAATCTTTCTGCGTGGAGTTTGCATGTTCTCCCCGTGCAGCGTGGGTTCTCTCCGGGTTCTCCGGCTTCCTCCCACACAGTCCAAAAACATGTTGAGGATAATCGGTGATTCTAAATTGTCCGTAGGTGTGAATGTGAGTGTGCTTGGTTGTCGGTCTCTAAGTGTGGCCCTGTGATAGACTGGTGACCTGTCCAGGGTGTCAGCTGGGATAGACTCCAGCCCCCTGTGACCCTAGTGAGGATTAAGCGGTGTATAGATAATGGATGGATAGACTACCTTTTGAGAAAATAGTGTAGTTTCTCAGCCAGAGCATCAAACGTTTGATGTCTCTGAACCTTTTCCTGCTTAATGAAAGTGAATCAGCTGTTGATGTCCTCAATCCGCACCATGTGACCTCTTCTTTTACTCCAGCATTGGTCACCTTTCCTGCATTAAATAGTCAATGTGGTGTTATTTGACAGCTGTGTGACTTTAACCTTCATATGTTCTTACTTTGCAACTGTGACTATATAAATCTGGGCTCTAGACGCCCTCCACAGCTTCAGAAATGAGTTGGTCATCTACAAAACAGTAGATGTTGTTGGTCCTGACTATAATTTAACCCACAGTCTGTTCTTACTATGGATTTAGCTTTAAAGTGATTCCTCAGTACCTGTTTCCCTCAAACTTATATTCATTTTATTGATAATCTTACGACTCTTCCAGCTTCCGCTTTAAATAGAACATTCCATTTTCTTGTTCTGCTCTGAGCTGAATCATTAAATAATGAATTTGTTGTCCTTGGGCACCGTTTTCTGGTTTTATTTTCTCTGTTGTTTTTTTTTTTTTTCTTCTTCTATCGTAAATCATTTGGATCCATCATGATGTGTTTATTGCGTTGCATAAAGTTTAGTTGAGTCACTTGAGACATGTCAAAACAGGTCAAGGTATTGCATGTTGTTGGTGTTACGTAATCACCCATCATTGCTTTGGTTTGTGATTCAGAAACACTGTTTACTCATTGCTTCCTAAAATGTGCCGCACCTCGATTTGGATGTTGATGAAACAGGAGAGGAAAACCCCTGGAAAGAGGTCCTCTCAGATTATTTCTGCTGCTGTGTGAAGCGAGCGCTCCAGTTCTGTCAGAAGGAGTCTCATGAATCCACTGCATTTATGTCAGGGAACTTGTTCTGCACCCAGCCGGCACCGCATTCTGCTGAATACGACATGTAGAAATACCTGGAATACAAACTTGCATAGTAAACATCAGATGTGCATTTGTGTGAGTAGAAACACAGCACGCTGCAGAATGAGTCGGTTTTATGGCTGATTTTAATGTGAACGCTTTGATAAGTTCTTAAGTGTCTTTGTCCTCACACTCTTCCTTGAAAGTTCCTGTCCTTTTCCAGAGAAATACACACACACACACACACACACACACACACACACACACAAACACAAACACACAGTGTTGTGACTCACAGAGGAGTCATGCCTGCAGGCATGGGGAGCTGACACGAATCGGTATCAGTAGCCTGAAGGCACATTTTTCCCCAGAACTCTGCCTGGTAATTGAACCTCGTGACAAAAAAAGTCTGAAAATAAACTGTTTTGCTCTGACTGGCTCTGGATATTATTCAGTAATACTGCTGCTCCAGCATTTCTCTTTGACTGTGAGAGCTGCATCAGGAGAAGAGGCCTTGTTTTTGTCCACAATCACTGCGCTGCATGCAAATCACTGGCTGCTATTGTGTTGGCTGTAAGTGATATCTTTGTGAAGGACGTTAAATTAAAACAATCGAAAGAAGGCGTCCCGTGGCCCTGTGCGTGGCTGTAGATTATGTGGCCTTTGTGTGGGTTAATGTAAGGTGGCGTGGCAGTTTAATAGCCTCCCTATGTGAAGGAAATGGTGTGTGGCGAGGGCTCATTTACAAATAGCATCTGTTTTCTTGTTTATCCAGCCCTTGTGCACTCTTGTTTGTGATCAGACACTCATAGACTTAACACTTCATTTAGTGAAACAGCCCTTATCTCCTTTACCACTGACTATTTGTCTTTCCTGGTTTTTTTCAGTTGCAACACACTGCCGAGCCGGAGAACGCTGAAGAACTCCAGACTGATCTGCAAGAAAGACGACGTCCACGTCTGCATCATGTGCCTGCGCGCTATCATGAACTACCAGGTCAGCCCTCTGCACTCCACAGAGAACATCACATCCACACAGAGTGCACGTCCCTCTGGGCAAAAGCACACTTTATCTTACTGAAGCCAAATTCAATTTGCTCCACTGCTGGTTCTCCATGTTTCATTTATTACGGAGAGGAGTTCCCTATTCAGCTTATTCAGTGGCTCTTCTTCTCTGTTTAATTAGCTTATTTGTCTCTGTCTCTCTCCCTCTCATTTATTTTTCATCTTCCAGTACGGCTTCAACATGGTCATGTCACACCCACATGCTGTGAATGAAATTGCACTAAGCCTCAACAATAAAAACCCCAGGTAAGTCCCACACAAGGGTTAAAAATTAACTTCAAATCAAAAGGTCAACATTTAAAAAGCTAAAAGTTCTTTCTTTTTGCTGATAAAAACAAAAAGGGAGTCAGTAGATAAAAGACACAATAAGAGGTTTGTTTGATTTCGAGGTTAACAACATTAGCTTCAGTGCACCTGCACAGTCTGATCCAGAGCGAGTGTCTTTGTTGCTCCGAGGCACATTCATCCCGACAGACGGGTCAGGGCACCGCTGGCACACTCCACCACACTGGCAGCTGCTTACTGAGACAGCTACCAGAAGGACTTCTTTTATGTGTGTGTGTGTGAGTGGTTGTGTTTTCACTTCATGCCCCGGGGTTTAAGGATTTCCTCAAAAGTGGATGTGGAGCCACTTCGCATCACCTGTCACATTTCGTCTCATCCAGGCAGAGAAATCCTGCGTGAATGAACTGGAGACGGAGCGAACAGGATGTTTCTGTCCTGGTTGCTTTAAAACACACACACACAGAGACACTCACACACACTCCAGGATTCACTTTTATACATTTTAATCCAGTGGGTGCAATCAAAGTTTAAAGCTTCTGCAACATCCCCAAACTTCTTGTTAACCAAACATTTAATCTGAATGTGACCGTTATAAGTTGTTGCTTCCTTTTTATAGTGATGAATACTTAAATAATAGACATTAATTGTAATACACACTCTAATTGCCATGTTTCATCCATTCCGCGCAGACGTTTCAGTGGTGACATGATCTCAAATTACACCGTTTCCACTTTGTTTGCTCTGTATTAAAGTACAGGTTTGCCGCTGCGCTGCCACTTGTCATTTGCTAACCATTCCTGCTATTATTTTTCCCTGTTTTACAGAACTAAAGCTCTGGTTTTGGAGCTCCTGGCGGCAGTTTGTCTCGTGAGAGGAGGCCACGAAATCATTCTCTCCGCGTTCGACAACTTTAAGGAGGTACGAGCGGCAAAGTGGGGTCCGAGGAGACCAATGTGTCATTAAATTTCCACTGTGCAATTTCGAACCCTGGAGGAATGCGCCTCCGGCAGTTGTTAGACCTGCACATTCCTTCACAGAGGATAGCATCCAGGAATTAGCTCTTTGTCAACAGATTTCAGAAACAGGTTTAACTGCATAACATGGGATGACCCACTTGGCCATCAGGGAAAAAACAGTTATATGTGTGTTAACTGGATTTGGCAGTCGCATCAAAGCTCAGAAACGCAGGGAGACAGATGTAACGGATAGCCTCGCCTGACCTTTGCCTGTCTGGATGAGGTATCCTGGCTGCCGAAGAAAGAAGCAGAGGCTCTTATAATGGAGACAGCCGCCCCATTTTGTAGCATACGGCCCACAAACATGGGCCGACTGCAGTTAATGTAATATTTACACCCCTGAATGAAATATTGAGTGTTGCTCTCAGCGGCACCAGCATTAGTGGAAGAATAAGGCACGGGGAGAACATAGCCGGTCTAATGAGATAGAGGTTGAGAAATGGTTATGATAGTGAAAGCTGCTGGGAGCGTGTGAAGACTCCTTTTTTTTTTTTGTTCTGTTTTTTTGTGTAGTTGAAAAGTTTCTTATGTAATCTCATTAGACTTTTTTTTTTTTTTTTAGTGGAGTGACTTTGATATGTAGTTGGATGAAGGGGCTGCAGACTGAGGCTTGAGGCTTGATGCTGAGGTTTTTGGATGTACTCCCCTCCTCCTCCTCCTCCTCCTCCTTCCTCCTCCTCCTCATTTCTTTATCGTGCACTGTCTCCCTCATTGACCTCCAGATGAACCGTCTGAACTCCAACGCATCTCTCTCTCTCTCTTCCTTCTTTTTATCTGTTATTCTGTCTCCCCAATTCCAGTTTAAAAAGAGCGTACTTGCAAAACAACAAACGACAGCATGTGTGGTAAAAGCTGTAGTACACAAGTGATATTGAACAGCTCTATGGAAAATGAAAGAATGATGCAGCGGCATTATATGAATAATTTATCATAGTTATTATGGCTCTGAAAGCTGCTGTAAGCTGTGACTCTTTAATTTCACCCAATATTGTTGGTATAGGATTTAAGGGTTCATTGTGGCTGAATTTAGGGAGATGAGCAGAAATTAAAACTTAAATCTTGTCACAGAGTCACATCAGAGTAGTTTGCTTTATGAAAATCAATGATTCCATCAATCACCGCGGCTTCCCTCGGATACATTCAGTAAAGTCAGACGCGGTTTGTTTTCCAGGTATGTATCGAGGACCAGCGGTTTGAGAGGCTAATGGAGTATTTCAAGAATGAGGACAACAACATCGACTTCATGGTGAGTCCACTCGCACTTCTAATGACTATCGATTGTGCTTCAATCCCTTGAAAACCCACAGATAGCTCGTAAAGCTTTTTAAGGTGAAGCAGCGAATGTGTTTCCTTTTAATTTTTTCACTGCTGTCAACATTTTAGAGATCTGAATTGTAATCTGCGGGTTGGACAGGTGCATAAAGAACTGCGTAGGTTCTGCTGTGATGACATAAAAATACGACACGAATGAGTTTCCAGCTGGTTAGAAATATAAATATTTTGAGTGTTTTGATCAGGACTGCGTGTGTCCTCTGTGTTTGTATAAGCTCAAAAATAACTCGGTGAATGGACACACTACACACTCAGAGGACCGTCGGTGTTTGTGTGAGGTTTCTCATCAAAACTGTAGTGAATCAAACTGGAGTGGCCCAAAGCTAAGAACCCATGCCAAGTCTGTCATTTCCAGGCTAAGAAGTGCTTATTAATCTGGCAGAGAAGGCGAAAAACAGCGGAGAAAAGGCCAACTTATGCATGATTTTATTCAATGTCCATCCTTTTCTTACGTGTCCAATCTGACTGAGTAAAAAACACCAGATGCTGTGTTTGAATAGACCTTCAGTAGGCTTGGAATAGGACTTCTGTCACAAGCCCCCCTCCTCCGGTAGACCATCGTCTGACAGCCACACTAAAGCAAACACACTTGCCGTGTCACACCCAGACAACTGAGCTCTTTACAGGAAGTTCATTAAGCCATTGCCAGTGTGACAAGTGTGTGTGTGTTTGCATGTGTGTGTGCTTTAGACACTGCGAGGAGATCCCTCTTGATCTGTTTATGCAAGCTCCCATACGGCAGCCAGTGCCGTTGAACTGGCTGATTTTGTTAATTTGTTTTTTCAGATCCCTTTAATCTGCCAGATAAGCTGCTCTGCCAGCCAAGCGAGCAAAATAATGAGGATTTATCCACACAATTTCAAGCGAGGCGATATTAAAAGGCAACAGATATGACAATGAGCGTAAAACCAAATCATGGAAGTAGCAGGCTGTCACATAAAAAGAAGCTGTTGTAAACGTGTCTATTAACACATTTCATTTGCATTGTTGGCTTAATTGTTTGTATCTCATGATCAGAAAACATTTTTCTCATAAATACAACTGATGATGTGTACAAAAAGTGTCTCGACAACACGTAGGAAGCCTCCAGTATTTGCTCCACTGACTGTATTCTCCCTGTTTTTATTCTCCAGGTGGCGTGCATGCAGTTCATCAACATCGTGGTGCATTCAGTGGAGGACATGAACTTCAGAGTTCATCTACAGTACGACTTCACCAAGCTGTGTTTGGACGACTACCTAGACGTGAGTTGAGACGTAATGCTGCAGGAAAACGGACAGACATCCCTCTGAACATTCCCAGTCTTTAAACTGAGCTCAGTCCAGAGCATAGGTTGTCATTACAGCCCCCCTGAGACAGCAACCACAGAAAAGCAGTCAATGATGGCTTTTCCATTACTTCAGAAAAATCTCCTAGTTTTGTAGATCTTCGTCTCCTCTGCTAAGTCGGCTCTGGCCTTTCAGTCTGAGATGTCGGCCTCATGCGGTGAACTGATAAAGCAAACGCTGGTTTTCACTAATTTTTTGGTGTATGTCTTCCAGAAACTAAAACACACAGAGAGTGATAAGCTGCAGGTCCAGATCCAGGCGTACTTGGACAACGTGTTTGACGTGGGAGCTTTACTGGAGGACGCAGAGACCAAAAATGCTGCCCTGGAGCGGGTGGAGGAGCTGGAGGAGAACATGTCGCATGTGAGAGCGAGAGATTTTACTCCTAATAAGTCTGCATAATAACATCAGGAAGTTGATGGCAGTCTGAGATTTACTAGGATATTGTGTTTCGACTTAACTGACAAAACACACACACTAGTTTTTTTGACATTCATATCGTCCAAGTTTTGGCGGTAGATTTTTCTAGAAAAAAATTGAAATATCTAAAAGTCTCTTTGTTGGCACACTGATTTGGTTGCTGTCATCGTAACTAGTTCACGTCACTGTGTGACCTTTTCCTCCTGGCGACTGTTTCCGTAGATGACAGAGAAGCTGCAGGACATGGAGAACGAGGCCATGTCTAAGATCGTGGAGCTGGAGAAGCAGCTGATGCAACGGAACAAGGACCTCGAATCCATCAGGGTGAGGCCTGCTCGCTGTGCATCGACATTCATTCCATTTGTTGCTGATCATTAGGTTTTCTTACTCAAACATCATTACATACGCTGCACATCTATTTTTTATACAGATTAAGCATTTACATTGAGACCAGTGGCATCAAGAATTCTATAAAATTTTAGGCGCTTTAGGGAAAAATAAGTTCTATTTGCAGAATTGTTCCATAAAGCTTGTCGTTTTAAAGGTACATCACCATAATTCTAGGATTAGTTTTTCTGTTGCTCTGTTTCTTATCATATTTTTATAACATGTTTGACTTTTTCTGTCTTTTTATTCCCACACAGGAAGTCTACAAAGACACCAGTTCGCAGGTACACTCACTGCGGCAAATGTTGAAGGAGAAGGACGAGGCCATCCAGCGCCAGAGTAACCTGGAGAAGAAGATCCACGAGCTGGAGAAACAGGGAACCATCAAGATCCACAAGAAGGGAGACGGGGACATCTCAATCCTACCGTCCCCACCCTGTGGCGTGGAGGGTGCGCCAGGCGCCGTGACCGGAGGAAACGGCACAGTCGTTGGTCCAAACATCGTAGGAGTTGGAGCGAGCACGGCCGCTCCACCTCCACCGCCTCCTCCACCTCCCCCACCGCCGGTCAACGGCACATGTAGGTTCAATACTATCCAACCATATTAACTGGATGACAAAAGTAATGACCTCTATCGGTCCTGTCATGGGTTTAAACTTAGAAACCAAACAATGACTCTTTCAGTAATAGCACTGACCTGCATTTAAATTTTTGTTTTTAAAAAAGCGTCACTATTTCCTGACACGTGACTTCTGATTTTTACTCTCTCCTCACTGTTTCGCCTCCCTCTCAGTGCCAAACGGACCATCATCAACAATCCCAGCAGCAGCTCCTCCACCTCCACCCCCACCTCCTCCTCCTCCGCCTCCACCCCCAGGACTGCCCTCAGAGATATCAGCCCCTCTGCCTCCTCCGCCTCCACCTGTCGCACCCCCGCTGCCTGGCTGCGGGACGCCCACTGTCATCATGAACTCTGGGTTAGCAGGTAAGGTCGCAAGATGGGGAAAAGGTGCACGCAGTAAATCATGTTTGCGCCTTCATGTTAATGTGTTCTGTACGTATACTGTGAGCTTCTTTCTAAGTAATATGCAGGATTTTTGCCTGAGTTATGCCTGACCTGATGTTTATATGGCTGTGTGGTAGTTTCCTGCATGTATCAGGTATCAACTGATTGTGTCATTATAATTATTACAGTACTAATTTTAGATGGTATCAAAAAAACTGCATCAAAGGAAACAGGGGAGGTCGCCGAAAAACTTCTGAAGTGGGATTGAAAGGCTGGCTAGTTAGTTAAAAATGATTTGTGACATGAAGCCCTCTTCTTTTCTTTGATTTAATACTATTTTTTTCATAAAATACACATCACAAAGTGCTGCAATATCAGAACAGCAGATAGAAATGCAGAAAGTGGCTCCTGCTGTAGCCTTGCCAGAGATGTAAGAGGATGCTGCTGTATTGCAAATACTCTCCTTCGCTGCAAATTTACTATCTCACCACACGTGGCAGCTTTTTTTTTTTCTTTTTAAATAACTGTAAAGGACTTCTAGTTTATGGGAAAGTGATGAAAGCACAGGCCTGAGGCAAGAGGTGCTGCTAGAAGTCTTTTACTGTAGAGCTGCTGCCTGTATGAAGTTGGACAGTAACCACTGTTTGGCTTCTCCTCGATGCTCAGTTAAGTTTGTATAGGTGCATATTTGTACCTTTTCCAGCTGTTGGATGTGAAGAGATTATTACTAAAGAGTACTGATTTTCTGGTGTTCATACAAAGTGGACAAACACAGTCTATTTACATTTTATACAGAGATCCCATCAGTGTTGAGTCAGTAGACGCTACGATAAAAAAACACTTTACTCTTTCCAACACGCCATCGTTCCTGCTTCAGATGGTTAGCATCGATAAGGCCCCCATGTGACTGGAACCAGATCAACCTGTGCTGCATGTAGACGCATATTTCTCGCGACGCACGCACGTGTAAGCTGCAGAATAACAATCTGAGAAAGTTCTAAGCCTCTGAGACACAAAACACATCAGTGCAAGGCGATTAATGTTGGTTACATCACTCAGTAAACAGAAGAAACCCCATTAAGTTTTATTTTTAGCGCATGGATTCTTTACTGTAGCGTGTGTTTGAGATGTGCACTAACTCTGCCAACTTCTTAATGACTTGTCTTTGAATTGTTTCCTTTTCCTGCCAACCAGAGGGACCCATCAAACTTTTCTGTAGGTTCTTGCCTGTCATGTTCGGTGTTGTGTTACCCCCCCGCTGTTCCTCTCATTTCCCACAAGTTTGAAAGTGGTATTTTCAGCGTCTCCGTTGAAAACACGAGAATAAGTCCTATTTGTTCAATTCAAGCCTCTTCCCAACTTCTGATAATTTCCACATTTCACACACACATTATGCTTCCTGGTGTCTTTTTTTTCTACTTCTTACATAACTTCACCATCATACTGTTTAAAATTGTGATGGAAATCTTGTAAGATGGTTAACTCTTGCTGGAGGACGTTTCTGGAGGCCCAGATTTTACTTAAGCTTAAATGAGGAGACTGCAGATGAGTAAAACAAGTCTGTTTGAGGCCACACAATTTTTTCTTCTTAGATTCATGGATCATGCAAACTGTAGTGCTTCTCCAAATAAAGAGACACTTTACCTCTCCAAACATGTGGGTACCAAACCCTAAACAGTCCCATTGTGTAGTTCATGCAGTACTGTGTCAAGGCCTTTCTTGACACAGACATAACACAGAAACACAGGGTCTCCTCGTATCTTTACGTCCTTGTCTGAGGCAGACACCGAATACCAAAACATGCTTTTTTTCCCTCTCTGTGCAAGATTCGCTGTTCCACTTTCAGATGATTTCAAACAACAAAGAAAATGCCACATTTCAAACTTTTTGCATGACGTCTTGCTGTAGTGTTGTGACTGTGTGTGTTTGTATGAATGAAACATTGCCACATTTAGAGAGCTGGTCGCATGCTGTGACCTGCAGCGGCACGCAGATGATTAAAGTGATATCCCCCGCGCAGAGCTGGAATGCTGTTTACCTTTCCCATGATAGCGTTATCTTTCTGTCCCCGCTGACATCTCGGCAAAGCAGGGCGCCACCTCAGCGTTCAGCTGCAGCGAAGCAGCCGCGGCTGCTACAAATAGCTTTAATCTGCCCAATAAATAGTTTGTCACCGAGCCCGGCAGAAAATCCTCGCCATATGCACCGCCACCAGCGGCTAAGAGGCTTCGCTGTTGAAAAAAGTGCCCTTTCTGTTTAGTTTGAAGGACTTAAATTGGCACAGGAGGCATCCAGTCAAAGTAACATTTTTAAAAAAGTGTTCAAAATGCAGTTGGATTGTATGTTTTGTAGAGATTAGGTAGACATAGCATCTAGCCACAAAGGAGTCATTTCCATGTGTGTTACCAGCCCCAGACACCTGTTTACCCCTTCACCTGCACGCGTGATTGTATGTTTGTGTATTTGTTCTCACTCAGGGAGTAGACAGGGACGTTGTGTTAACTTGTCTGTGTCCTGTTCAGCCGTTAAGATCAAGAAACCCATCAAGACCAAGTTCCGTATGCCCGTCTTCAACTGGGTGGCCCTGAAACCAAACCAGATCAATGGCACTGTCTTCAATGAGATTGACGATGAGCGGATACTGGAGGTAAAACTCTCCTCCCACTTAGAAATTACTTAGTAGTATCCATTTCCTGCCTCGTTCCCATTATGGTGATACATCAACTAATTGCATTTTAGGACTTGAACGTCGACGAGTTTGAGGAGATGTTTAAGACGAAAGCTCAGGGCCCGTCGATCGAACTCACCATGAGCAAGCAGAAGGTCATCCAGAAGGGGCCCAGCAAGGTGGCTCTGCTGGACTCCAACAGGGCAAAGAACTTGGCCATCACGCTGAGGAAAGTGGGGAAGACGTCTGAGGAGATCTGCAAGGCCATTCAGCTGTGAGTCCTCAACTTGAAAGAAAAGCCAGCAAGCGTTCTGGTGTTTTTGTCTGGGTTTGTCTGCATGTGGTTCACTTTTAGACGAACTGTCTTCAACTTTTTACCCTCCTCTACCTCCTTGTCTTCCAGGTTCGACCTACGGACCCTCCCGGTGGACTTTGTGGAGTGTCTAATGCGCTTCCAGCCCACAGAGAACGAGATCAAAGTCCTGCGGCAGTTCGAGAAGGAGCGCAAACCTCTCGAGAGCCTGACGGACGAGGACCGCTTCATGATGCAGTTCAGCAAGATCGAGCGGCTCATGCAGAAGATGACCATCATGGCCTTCATCGGCAACTTCACCGAAAGCGTGCAGATGCTCACGCCGGTACGTTCTGGTGCTGATTCGTTCTGATGCAGGAAGCGGCGACGCAGCGCTGAATCTGACATGTCGTTCTCTTTGCTCGCCCACAGCAACTACATGCGGTCATCGCGGCATCCGTATCCATCAAGTCATCGCAGAAGCTAAAGAAGATTTTAGAGGTGACTGAACCCTTTTAGTTGTTGTGTCAAAACCCTGCACAGTTTCCCTTTTTCTCATCCTCGTTTACTCCCGTTCTGCAGATTATCTTGGCACTTGGAAACTACATGAACAGCAGCAAAAGAGGAGCAGTGTACGGATTCAAGCTGCAAAGTTTAGACTTGGTAGGTTGCTTTCTCTCACCTTTAAAGCTCTTTCTGTCTAGACGTTTGCACTCATCTGCTTTTACTTTCCTCACAGCTGCTCGACACCAAGTCGACGGACCGTAAGATAACCTTGTTACACTACATAGCCAACGTGGTAAAGGAGAAATACACACAAGTTTCTCTCTTCTACAACGAGCTGCACTACGTGGAGAAAGCCGCGGCAGGTGAGTCGAGTTTGCGGCAAGTTGACAGAAAAGTCGGAAATTTAGTCGATTCTCTGAGACTGTCCAAACTTTTTATTATCATTCCACCGAAGCGCCTCACACTCTTGTTTTATTACAGTTCAGTGAGCGGCTATGTCGTGTCAGCTAAGTCTCTCTCCCTCTACGTGTTTCGCAGTGTCGCTGGAGAACGTCCTGCTGGATGTGAAGGAGCTGCAGAGGGGCATGGAGCTGACCAAGAGAGAATACAGCATGCACGGCCACAACACCATGCTCAAAGACTTCATCACGCACAACGAGAGCAAACTGAAAAAGCTGCAGGACGATGCCAAGATCGCACAGGTAATACGACCACAACTCCAGTCGCAGTCAATCATCTGAACATTGTTTGTTTTGTTTTTTTTAACGTGCTGTTTTTTGGGTGTTTTTCTACGACAGGATGCCTTCGACGAGGCGGTGAAGTTCTTCGGGGAGAACTCCAAAACCACGCCGCCATCTGTCTTCTTCCCTGTGTTCGTCCGATTTGTTAAGGCCTACAGGGTGAGTTGGGTAATAGTCTCACAACACACGCACTACACCAGCTGAAAACACACACGTGGCATGCTGGCTGGCTTCACACTTGATTTATGTGACAACAGTGGCTGGGAGGTGGCAGTATGTGCCCTCTGGTGTTCACACCTCAATATAATGTTTTCTAAGCGCTGAAGTTAATTTAAAAGTTTACACGAGTAAGGCAAAGCAGGTTTATTTGGGTGGCACAGTTTGTACCCGAGGCAGAAGACAGATAAAGTCAATCCACGAAACATAAACACAATCATTACATTAATTACATTAAAAGTAAAGAGGCAGATAAAATCATCCATAAAAACATAGATAGAATCTCTAATTAGAAGAGTGCAGATAAAATACCTTCAGCTGTTATATGCACAACTAAGTAGATCTGTTTTCAGCCTGGATTTGAACAGTCAGAGTCGAGGCCTGTCTCATATCTTCTGAAAGACAGTTTCAGATTTGCATAAAACTGGAACCTCACCGTGTCTAGTCCCGACTCAAGGCACCAGCAGGAGGCCACTCCCTGAAGTTCTAAGTCCTCACATTTTACAATTTAGCACCAAACCCCTCACATAATGTGCTGTTGGACTTTTTTGAATTTCCCCAAGGGGATGAATAAAGTAAGTGTCTGTCTGTTGCATCTTTTTTTGCTGTATTGATTCTGGATCTCTGTAAATACTCAAATATTTCACTCAGCAGAAATTTGATCAAATTGGAAGTCTAAACTGGGATTCAGTCCAAGCCTCATTGGACTGCTTTCAGCTGTTTTCCTCCACTCGCTGCTGTGTGTCAACTCAGTTTAGTCTTTTTTTTTTTTCCTCTTAACTACTCCAGACCACATCAGTGTCGCTTCATTTACAACAGTTCATGACACTGCGGTAAAATCTCAGCTTGCCCAGAACCACACGAGGTGAAACTGTTGAATGTTTTTATTTTATTTTTTTAAAAACACGAGTTATCAGCTTGTAATTGATGTGAATGTGTAAATCTCTTCAGCAAGCGGAGGAGGACAACGAGCAGAAGAAGAGACAGGAACAGATTTTGATGGAGAAACTTCTGGAACAAGAGGCCATGATGGAGGAGGACCAGAAGGTAAGTTGACATTCATGTCAAACTGTTCTCCCCCCCATCCTCTCGATACCCTCCCCCTGCTTTCTAGGGCAGGAGGCTACAGAGGATCACAACGACCAGAAGGTAAGTCGGCTCCGCTTCCTCCCCTTCCGCTTCATCCTCTCTTCCTCCAGACTCCTGATCACAGGATTAGCCGAGCACCAACTGCCCGCTGGGTGTATCTACTTCTGCAGTCTGACGCCCTGCTGAGCCACATCACATCTACTCACAATCAGCTATTATACCCGTTAAATGCTTCAATTAATTCACACATGCAACAATGAAGGGATGCACGGAACAAAAGCGAATCTGAGCCAAAAGAAACCACACGTGGGAGAATCCTTTGTTGCTTATTTTGTGGTAGTGATTTGCCATTACGCTTATTAATAGATTTCAAGTGACTTTTTTTTTTTGTGTTCCCGCTCAGTCTCCATCCCACAAGAACAAGCGGCAGCAGCAAGAGCTGATCCAGGAGCTCAGGAGGAAGCAGGTGAAAGACAGCCGCCACGTCTACGAGGGCAAAGACGGCGCCATCGAGGACATCATCACGGGTAACATCACCCGGAGCTGCTCACGTTCACACACACACACCTGGCGCTCTGCATGAAGGTCCTCTCCTGCTGGATATTTCAGTGATTAACGAACGGGATTCTAAACCAACTAACACGACGACTTTGGCTCTGTCAAAGTATTCAGAAGTTATTACCTAACAAGTACGAACGTGCTCTGATGGCTAATCCAGCGCCATTCAGCTCAAATGTGTCTGATGATCATTGCTTATCTTATCTGCTTTGTCTTTGCTTTGTAACACTATCTGTACATAGACAGGGCCGGGATGTGACTATCTCCTGCAGTGTTTAAAGAAAAAGGGGATAAATATCATTGTTTGTTTAGCAGTAAATGAGTACATTGACACACTAGTTGAGTGAATTTAAGTGTTGTACTCTTGCTATTGTAGTCTATTTCCACTAATCTGACAGCAATATTTAAAAGTATTTATTAGTTTTTTGTAATTGTAGATTCATATTGTATTTACAAAACATAAAGTACAAAGGTCTGGGAAGATTCTCAGTCATCCAGGTCATGATTATTCTCGTAGTTTCGTCGTAACAACTGGACTTACTTGAGTTCCTTGAAGACGTTCCACCTCTCATCCAAGAGGCTTCATCAGTTCCAGACGGCTCCTTAAGGATATAAGTGTCTGGACCTCCCAACTAGTCAGTCAGAACTGATGAAGCCTCTTAGATGAGAGGTGGAACAAGAAACTCAAGCAAGTCCAGTCCTATAACAGAAAAACACTACTTACAAAATAACATATCAGTGTTAAATTCATACTGGTCCACATCTCAGTAGCTGTGAAACTTTGCTATATTCTAATCAAAACAACTTCAGGGAGATTTGAGCTTAGAAGATTTTATCAGGCCCTTAACTTTGTTTTTGTTCCCGGCCCCTGATGCTGTTGTTGGGTATTTGCTTAGTGCTAACCAGTGCTAAACCCCTGTAGGAGTCTTGCTTTTTTTCTTAAACTGTGTTTGTCTTGTTTTGTCCTGGCTGTTGTCCCTGTCGTTCTCAATGCAGTGCTGAAGACCGTGCCCTTTACCGCCCGCACAGCCAAGCGCGGCTCTCGGTTCTTCTGCGAGCCCGCTCTCAATGAGGAGTACCATTACTAAGCTTATAGAACTCTGTCTCTTCTCAAAGGTTGCTGGAACAAAACGTTCTCTTCTTTATGTCTTGTTTTTTTTTTTCTCCTCCTCCTCCTCCCTCCTTGCATGCGTCTTCACACTCCTCCTCTTTTTAACGCTCATTTCTCCCTCTTCGGACCTGTGCTCGTGTCTGATCTCATGGTTTTCTGGAGACAACGCGCACACACGCCTGAGTGTTTGTTCACCTGTTTTCTCCTCCCCTGAGCACGACGAAGGTGTCGTCGGACTTTTTCTCTGCCCACCTGCATGAAGTGTGACATCCACATTCATCGTCATTAGTCCACCAGACACGGCAAAACCATAATGTCACAGAGAGAACCGCCTCTTTTCTGTCTCCTGTACTGACAGGAGATTAAAAGAGGTGAACTTTTTCCTCTTCACACAACTGAAAAGTTAAAGCTGGGTGCTGCCATCTAGTGGCCATAGATTGAAAACAAATGGGGAGCAACGGAAGGCATCCGTCAGAGTTTTTCTCTCATTAGAGTCTAACTCAGGGATCTGGTCCTCGTGAGCTACTGTCCTGCAGGTTCTAGATGTTTCTGTACGTGCAACACAACTGACTCAAACTAATGGATCTCCAGCAGTTAATGAGTCTGTTAATGATCCATTAGTTTGAATCAGGTGTGTTGCAAGTACGGAAAACCTGCAGGACAGTAGCTCACTGGAGATCCCTGGTCTAACTGAACGATCTGATCTGGTGAGCAACACGCTGCGGTCCATCTTGTAGTATACAACAGAGTATATACAAGCAGGTATGACTACTGTTATAATGTGTCGGTGCCTGTGGCATTATAACTTGCTTTTCTGTGTTTCAGTCACTGTTTTAATTCAAAAATGAATGTTTGTGTGTTCACATTCACATATTGTTGTCCATTCACTGTGCTGCATGCCAATTGCTTCGCCCCTGCTGCTTTCCCACAATGCACCCCTGCTCTCCCACATTGCTCCTGCTGCCTCTTGTCGGAGGACTTTCTGCGGTCTGGCAGACTCGCTAACACTGTGCATGGCGTGTACATATAAATTTGTTTGCTACTAACATGCGATGAGGTGTCCTACGCCTGTTGTGTTGAAACTAACTCACGGTGTTTCCTCCCCTGGGTGCTTGCATGCTTTGGTTAGTTTTCTGGTGGTGTTGCTGTTGAACATGACAATCCCGCTGCGCCCTGGAATCAGATTTGTTTATTGCAGTTGCTCTGTACTGGGAGTTTGAAATAGGCTCTACTTTCTGTCCTGCTGGTAGCCACTTCGCAAAGCAGTCTGGGTCTAGTAACTGGAAAAAAAAAGAAAAATAAGAGCTTTGATCCTTCACTCTATTCCCTCTGTCCTCCTCTGCCAGTTGAAACCTCCTCCAGCTCTGTCCCCTCTCCTCCTCCTCCTCTGGCCTTCCCACATGCAGCCTACTGCCACTCTGCTTTGCTCTCGCAGCGCTCTCTCTCTCTCTCCCCCGGCAAAGCCAATGTGAACATGTTGGGCTGACATGCTCCTCCATCATTTTTAACTTTCATTTTGTCTTCTCTTCATCTAGCCCTAAAGAAGAATAATATTACTAAATTTCCCAATGTCTACTCGAGGGTAAGGAAGTCCTCCAGTAGCACCCCTGTAGTGGTGGATGTGTCCCAAACCTGGCAAGCATCTCTTTATTACCTCCCTTCCTCTGTAACTGTCTTCTCATGTAGGGTCCACTCATCACGCCTGTCCCTTCTGTTTCTCTCCTCCGTCATAGCAGTAAATCTCAGTGTCTTAAGATAGATAGCGTCCTCTCTTTGTATGAAGAAGATGCGTCTTGTGAATCAGAGATGCGTCGTAGGTTTTCTAGATTTCTGGCAGAGGCTTACAAATGAAAACCCTGCGGTCAGTCGTAACACCAGCTGACCGCAGGGATTTTTATTTTTTTACTTTAGACGTCATGCTGCTTTGAAAGACAGGCTGCCAGCACTATGAACATGTGGGCTCATCAAACTGCCCCGACAAGATGACTGACAGCTCTTTTATTCACCCCCTCCCCCCCATCCAATCCCTTCTTCCTTCCCCTCTCAGATTTGAGGAATCAGCCCTACAGGCGGGCGGACGCCGTGCGGAGGAGCGTCAGGAGGCGCTTTGATGATCAGAACCTGCGGCCGGTGAACAATGGCGAAGTGGTCATGTGACGAGGGAAAAAGTGCACGTGCTGGGTGGGGGGTGGGGGAGGGAGGGAGGGAGGGGAGAAGGTGGCGAGGACGTCGAGAGAGAGGGAGCGGCAGGAAGTCTGAGTGAAGGATGATGAGTATGTACATATATTACATAAGAATACACACTATTCTTTGTGCTATAGCGGCAGCGTTTCACTATGAAGGACTGGAACACGTGTGGACTGAAGTGTCTGAAAGGTGGATTCAGAAACCTTAGACAAGCTAAGTGCCTATTTTTGTGGTCTTCTGTTCGTCTGATGACTTCTTGTTTCAAATAATCCCACTTGGAGCAATACAACTTGACCTGGCTTTAATTTTTAAAGATGTGTAAAAAAAACAAAAAAAAACTGGACATGCGGTGGCCTTAGGAGCCACGTGAAAAGATGTTACCACGGAACCGTGATGTAGAATGTATGGGACGTCGTTCCCTTCAGCTGTTACAGATATTCCACCTCGTTAGCGACGTAGGATCTCGGTACATTCCGGTGCTCTCGTCCATTCCTCTTAAACACAAACATGTGCTCAACCTGCACTTTTTTTTTTTTTAACATCTCATGATGCTTCTCAAAGGGCTGAAGAAAGCGATCAGACAGTAATTAAAATTATATGACAGTAAATGAGGTATTTAAAGAAGGACCAGACCAGTCTAATGTGAATTTTTATACAAAGCAGACATCTCTACTGCAAATGATGGGCCAAACTTGAGTTGGTAGCTGTTAATCCATTTAAAAAAA